AATTTCATTTTTATCAGACTCCGGCGGATGGATTTCCACAGTCGATGACGCTGTAAAGAAAAATACCACATTATTCATGAACAAAATCCAAACTTACAAAAAAACATATCCAAACCTATCTATTGAAACCCAAACAACAAATATTAGCTTAAATTAAAGTTATTTTCAAATTGATAAATCATTTAGTACAAATATAAATACTATAAATAAATATTTATATCAAGTTTTGACATCCGATATAAAAATTATTTCCAGCATAAAAAAACAATAGACATCTATTTTTATACACTAAAAACTATATTATAATTTAGTTATTCCTATAACTTATTTCGCATATAAATAACATTTAACACATTATATATACAATATTTTCACTTTGCACTCTTGCTACATTTTTTCTATTTCATCATTATTTGGTATTATTAGAATAACCCACTAAACCAACAACCGAAAAAAACACAGATCCCGGCCCTGCGCTTGCGCGGGGGTTATGCAGCTAGTAGGTTATAGTAACATACATTGAAAACATTACAAGCAATAACTGAAATATGAAAATTAGACATCGAACATATTACGTACCAACACCAATTAGTCTTATACGCCATTACTTTTTATACCCATCATTATGAGTTACCATGTTTAAAAAGATTCTATATCAGAATAAGAAGAAAAAATATTCATTACACCAATGTATTCAACTTCAAAGTTTGATATCGAGGCTAATCATAAAAGCATCTCCGTACAATTTTTTCTTCCCCTTCCATCCGTTACAGATTATGTGACTCCCATCCTCACAAACGTCAAATATCTGTAAAGTTGTGATACGTGTTAATAATACGCAAGCTGTACGACGTTCATACACTTAACGTTCTCATGTTTGTTGTTTCCAAATTCACTGGATATTCATGTTAACGATTTGGACAGTCCGAAATTGATTTATATCATCCCCACACTGTCTTCCTAGCATGAATGAAATCCGAAACCGTTCACAGTTGTGAATATTAAAACTTCTCTTTATAAAGCGAATCTCAGTTAGTTTAGTGATATCCAACTACGGCTCGAAATAGAGATCAGCATTGCCTTTTCTATATCGATAACATATGAGGGCTAATAATACTCCCGTTTCTTTGTTCTTATTTTAACAATACGTATATGTCGTATGTGGCAAATTTTGGACCACCACAATAAAAATCAGTATATTGGAACCGGGTTCATTTGTATCGACATTAAGGTATGCAACACTTTCAATCGTAAATTTGTTAGTACAAATACAAAACAAGTGTTTATTTTATATATTATGCCAACAGGAAAACATATATGAAGGGAAGTTTGATAAGTTCCTTGAAGAGGAAAACATTAAGTCCATCCAAGAGAATGCGATATATCAAATTCAATATTTTGCTCTGTTAGAAAATGCTCAACGATATAGGCTCACTCATCAGCAATATATTATTCATATCACCACAACCACAGTCATAGAAAAGATAGAGGAAGATATCCCGATGATGCCTCTGCATGTCTTCCGTCCCCTACGATACAATCAGCTGCTGAAAATAGCAAATACTTCAAACTACTTACCAGGTATACCTATTCCTAATTTTAGATTTTCAAAGATAAGTTTGCTAATCAAAATAGATATTATACCAGATGTAGTTGGACAAATAATAATGTTCCACGGCAGCGAAATAGAAAATCTAAGGGGAACATCCGACATTGTGGTTGGGCTACTCTTAAACAAGTATTTAGGTTTTAACTTATTCCCAACCAACGCAAAGACACCACGTAAATTAATTTTTTTGTTCACAGCAAATTTTTAAATATCTCCACACATCTTTATGCAGCTCAAAAAAGGTTTGCTTAACACTGAAAGACTATGTTGCTGCTGGGTTTAGAGAGATGCAAACCAAAACTGTATTCAAATACAAAGTTGTATTAACTACAACCATCAGCCCCAGAATATTTGGAGGTAATAATTATTACATAATTGAGGACCACGGTTAATATTTCTTAATTTTATTTGGTTAACTTATCACAGGTACAATGAAATTGGCGTCAACTACTGAAACCCGGATTTATAGTGACAGCAGCATTGACCTCATCCAAAGGTTCATACGGAGAAACGGAGTTAGTAATCAATGATAAACTGCCCATCTCATCATCCAATTCAAACATTCAAATAAAT